TTCAAGTGTTTGTTTAGTTTTGATGGCTCAACTGAATTAAGAATAATTTGAAATAATTGGATTAATTTAATGTTAGGTCAATCCAATTTACACTAATATGCTAATTTGGACGCTTGTTTTTGTGTTTGTGACAGGATATAATGAGTGTCTCATCTAAATTCTGGAGCCTTTTGAATAGATTACGAAATTTGTTTTGTTATTGTAATAGCATGGATTTCAGCCTAACGAATACTTTACATTATTTGAAACTGTCAATTGTTGGCGTATGCTTTCTTATAGTATATACACTCAGAAGATATTCTATTGCTTGTAAGTATGCTTTTTTATTTTGACAGTTGCAATGTCACTATATCCATCATTTCTCATGTTATTCTTAATATATACAATGTCACAATCTGTGTTGACTATCGACCTCTTAATAATTTTTAAAAGGTTTAAATTACAGGCTCGCTCCGTGTTGTATGCTCATACTTAGTATATAGAGTTTTATTCTAACAATCTTTCATAACGTCTTAGTCATTTGATAAATACATAACATACATATCAATTTTTTTTCCAGGTTGTACGAAAAAAGGTTTGTTTTATTCTTTTACACTTTTACTTCTACTTTACACAAATATTTAATTAATATTCTCTGACTTACTAATTGTTAATAACAATCATTGTAATTATTTTACGGAAACTCATATTTGCTAAAAGAATGATGATATATGTATATGTTTTGTATAACACTTTAGTTACTGTTAGATATTTTGAAGGTGTTTTCCGCTTAACTTCCAACACTACATATGACTTTAATGCCTATTGAAATTGCGCACATGTTGTAACCTTGTTATTTACACTTATTTATTCAAATTCGAGTTGAAATAGGCCAGAGAACTCTTCCTTTTTTACAGTTATAAAAATCTATAATAGCCATAAATCAGAGCAAACCAATAAGGTACAGACAGAGATAAAAAAGTTTCTATCGGATTCACATTTTGAACCAGTGGTTGTCTCTTGCGATGAAGCAAATAAAGGAGATACCAAATGTCCAATTATAGTACTGTGCAGCAATGACTCAAGACTGAAGGATGACATCGACAATGCTTTGTCTAGGATTAAAGGTAAGCCTGCCTTAATGAATAATTGTTAAGTTCAATGAAATGAATTCCTGTCAGGCGGCTAAGACTAGATAAAAAATATAATCATTGTTTTTAATGAAAATGTTATGTTACTTGTTATTTATTTTAATTCCTCGTTCAATATTCGCTCCAAAGAATATGTTTCTTTCTAATCGATAGAAAATAAAATCTGGTGATACGAAAGTTTGCATATAGTATCTCTGACAATACTTGTAGGTAGATACATCTTTTCATCATGTGACAGCTTTTGTTTTCTATGTACTTTAGTATAAATATTTCTTTAAGGCATACATAGTATATCATGAGGAATGAACGTCAAAAAATAAGTCATTTTAAATTTCCACGTCAAAGATATTTCTGCTGTTTTATACATTCGTTTAATTTTTATTCCATAAAGCTATCAAATGGTATAATCATATTGTCATTTACTTAAAATGTCAAAAGGTACATTTTGCTGTTTTATAAATAGTTCAATTTTTATAATTGTTTGTAATAAAATTATTCATATTGTCATTTATTTAAACTGACATAAAACTTTACCTGTCCTAAAATGGTTAAAATCCCTTCAGATGCAGGCTCTTTATACGTTTCCATTAGATTGTTTGCATATTATTTAAGGGTAAATAAAAAATGACAACTCATGTAAAATCATTAATATATCTATCTCTAATATTTCAGATGTCCGACTGAAAACTATTATAGTGATTGCAATACATGTTAAACGTGAAGATTATGCTGAGTTTGGAACTTCCGGAAAGATATTGCATGGACTTGCAGACATTGTTTTGGATTGGGATGCACGCAGCTTGCCTTTATTTGACAACCAGGAAGCAATAAAAGACTTAGAAAGATTTTTAAAATCTCGACCAAAAAACCGAATGGATGTATAAATAGCAAAAAAGACACGAATAAGAACAGAGGCTTATTTATCTGTTTTAATGTGTCCTTTTTTTCTTGACTTTATTTGAATAATTATGTTATCTTAATTTTGCTGTATTCTTTATGAAATTAAACTTGAAAGAACTCCAATGACAAAGTTGGAATAACGGGACTGGAAATATTTTTTCAGGAATTTGTGTCCTTTTTGATGAACGTGTGCGAAATGACGGACACATGGAAAGCGATGTATTGGTTTAACTAAAATCAAGCTAACAATACTTTTAGATTAATGTTGAGCATATTTCATTTTTTTCTTTTGCAGATATTTCCATTTTAAATTTTTCACATCAGTAAGAATTTTAAATTTATTATTTTTGTTTGTTTTTTTATAATTTTTTAAAGTTATTGTATTGCCTCCAAAAAACGAAGTGCAAAAATATTAACAATGAATAAACAGTATTGAAAACTTTATAGCCTAACATAATATTATGTGTATCCTTCAAAAACATATAAAACAAAAAAACATGACCATCTATTGCCAAGCGACTGACAAGTGTCAAGAAAGTAGTGTACTTAATATTTTTTAATACCTGTGGAGCTGTTGTCATAATTCCTGTCTCTAGTTCAATCCTATTCAAGCATTAAAGAGATGTTGCGTGAAGAAAATTTGTTTTTCTGCACGACAACGCTCCCGACACAAAGAAGTTACTGTAATTAGTTTGTTTTAGAGAAATGAGTGACTGTTCCTAAACAGCCACGTTATTCTTCAGATTTGTCACCCTGTGACTTCTTCCCTTGTCCTCTACTGAATAAAGCAAATAAAGGGGTTTAAAGAGAAGATTGTAAACTATGTGCTCCTTATTAAATTTTTGACAATATCGCCTTACATATTGAACGACCCTCGTTCATGTACTTTGTCTTATATTTCTAATGATAAAAAGCGACTCTATGAAAGATCCTAAGTTTTTTACAGAGCTTGCATTGTGACTATAACACATTAAGACAAGGGGAGATCCATTTAAGGCAACAGGAACAAAAAGTTCAAAGGATCAAAATGTATAATAATACTGAACTGAAGAAATGGTCATATCTGTACGAAAGACTTGTGGTAACTGTCCACTTCTGACTTCTCTTTTGGACTAATCTCAGAAATAGTTTGAAATTTGAAATTTTAAGTCTCGCTACGAGTATGAACCTGATTTTATCTAACGAATCGTAACTCAGGATGAAACATGGGTCCATCACTTCGATCGATCAAAAAATAAAAACAACAGAGCATGCAGTTGAAGCACCCTGGTTCATTTTTTTGGATAGTCAGGGGTAAATCAAGATTGAATTTGACTATCTTAAGCAAGATAATACCATATATACGGTACGTACTATGCAGACGAATTGAGGTGATCGTACGTAAAAAAGGTAGGAACTGACTAAAGGTGTTCTGCTGCTGCACGATAATGTGCCGGCTCACACATCCCAAGTTGCGATGGCTGCTGCAATTGACTGTGGCCTTAAATTCTTCTTAATCCCCTATATGCTCAGGACTTGGCCCCTCTGACTTCTACCTGTTTCCGAAACTGAATACCATACTTCGTGGTAGACGTTTTGGAAGCACTGAAGGTGTCATGGAGGCGTTAAATGAGTTTTTTGAGGACCAAAATAGAGAGTTCTATTTTAAAGGGTTCAACAAATGGAGCACAGGTGGGCAAAGTGCGTTGATGTAGAGGGCGATTATATGGAAAAGTCAGACCATTAGTTGGGTTCTCTGACTACCGGAAGTAAATCGGGCCAAGAACTTTTTGATAAATCATCGTTAAGTGTGAAGTTTGAAATCTTAACACTATAAATTGTCACAAAAAGCGAGCCAATGTCGTACTACCGATCGCTTTGGAACTGCATACTTCAAACTTTACGCTTCAGATTTCAAACTTAACACTTTAATCTTTACACTGCAAACTTCAGACTTTACAAATCCAACTTCAGACTTCAAAATTTCTGATATACTTTACATTTGGTATAAAATGTAAAGTTTTAAGTGGGAAGTCACCACCTGTCTTTTGTTTATCTATGCCCAGTTTTTCCATCAAATTGTCAATCGGGGACTGAGTCATGTGAACGTTGCATTTGCCTTGTTGATCTTAAGTTTTAGATAAATTTTAACAAAGCCTCGCCCGATTATATACTTCCAATCCAGAAGGCAAACAAACCTAATTGTCTAGTTTGCGGGAATGTTGTGAAAAATGGCCCCCGCATTTTTCTTTTGGCTAAAGGACGTCTTCTTGCATCTCTCTCAATACCGAAAAGTTTTGACTCTTTCTGGTACAAGGTCAAATTAGTTAAGTATTAATGTCCCATCATGTTTGCTTTTTTGTGCCATGTATATGTCTATGGTATGCCGATAGCATAGGTAACAATGAACACCTAACTATCGTCGAGCGTTTATGATTCGCCCTTTAAAGATTGATTTATCAAGAATCTTAATGAACAACGAATGTTAAAAACTTTATTAACTCGCCATAACATTCCTGAACGACGGAGGCATAAAACGAAAAATACCGACGGATATAGCTATTCTATTGGTAACAGCTGTTCCACTCTGTACTGGAAAATGTTGGTGAATTTTGGGTAGATCCAATCTGAAAACATTAAAAAAAGAAGAAAATTCCAATCTTTACTAAATATTTTCAAGTCCGCTTTAAGGAAGATATTTTGATTTTGAAGACCAGAAACAAGACAAAGCCATTGGTTTCATCACATTTCGCACGTTTCTCGATTCGAAAGTTAAGTTTCCATCCAATGCTTCTACCATTTGAAATGACAATCATTTATTTACAATATAACCCATTTCGCCACGTATTTTACGTAACAAATACTCTATTACTACCTTTAATAATCTAGAAAGACGTATAAGAATATACACTTCTATTGCATTGCTATAAATGGTAACATACATTTACACTTCTTCACGGGTAAACGAGTATCACCCGATTTTCGCTCAGACCTAAGATGCATGTTAAGTGGGTCGTTAAGAATAGGTTTTTTTGGTTGATACTGTCAAATTTTATCATAAAATGTAATATTGAATGACGGTTTATCTGTTAAAGGTAACAAAGCCAGTACATGGAATAACCTTTATTGTTCAAACTACAAGATGGGTAGCTGTAAGTAAAGACTTTATCAAAGTTATTTTTATTATATTTATATTATCTTAAGATTTTCTTTATAAGAAATCAGCAATTATTAATATTTTCAGTATTTTCATCCAGGAATTTGTGAAAGGAACATGTTTTAATATCCTGTGTAAAATGTTTTACTTGTTATTCAAATACTTCTTAAAGAACGAGATGGATTCTATCTATGAAAATTTGAATATATATATATGTATATATATAGATGTACATAATATATTAAAGGTCATAAGATGTAAATATAAAACTAATTGTTGTGCACGTATTTTCCAGCCGAGATGAGCTATTATGCGTACATAACAATGGCACATTAGATGTTTTACAGAGCTACAGATTGTACTATTAGATAAATCTTATTTCCTGCTATCTTTTTGGTGGTATTTCTTCTTGAATAATACTTCATAACCTCTGTAAAGTTCCATTTTATCTAGTTCTTTCCAATATTTACTTGCATATCTACATATTGAGGACCATACACTGCTTGCTTTTCATTTGATGATAAGAGGAGTGATGCATTTTAGATTACATTAACACCGATGCATGAACACGTCAATGAATACTTCTAAATGTCTTTTTCATAAATAATTGTCGTATTTTACTCTAACTTTATTGAAGTTTGGTGTCGCCTCTACGGAGTATTGGTGACATATAGGAATCACTTCTCCATCATCTGTCTGACTGTCTGTCCGTCGGTCACAAAACTTGTCCGGACTACTCATAAACTACTTGTGCAATTTCATCAAAACTTTACAGGAATGATCAGTACCAAGTGTAGTTGTGCATATCGTCATTATATACCGGTTCAATGATTTTTGTCAGTTATGGGCCTTTAATATTTTCATTTTTTATTTTAAAAGTATGTCCGGACTACACACCTAGTACCACTTATGCAATTTCACTGAAACTTTACAGGATTGATCTGTAGCTCAAGTCCTTGCGCTTAATGCATGGGTTTTTCGGGTGAATGATTTTTGGTCGAGTTATAACCTTGAATAAAAAAGATGCTTTTTGTGTGTTGCCAGATACACAAAAACATGTCCAGACTACTTCTCAAAAACTAAAGGTGTATATCATACGATCTTTACAGGAATGATTAATACCAAGTCTAGTTGTGCATATTATCCGGTTTTTATGGTTCAATAAATTTTGTCAGGAGTAATGGCCCTTAAATTATTTTTTATTTAAAAGATTTTCCGTACTACACCTTTTTTACCACTTATCTTTAGATAAAATTTGTCCGGATTACTAATGCAATTTCAATGAACGTTTACAGGATTGACTGGTAGGTTAAGTACTTGTGCATAATACGAAAGTTTTTTGCTTGAATGCTTTTAGGCTGAGTAATTGCCCTTGAATAAAAGAGGTGTGTTTTGTGTTTTCAGCTACATAGAAGTTTGTCTGTACTACGCCTCAGAAACTACCGGCGCAATTTTATCAAAACTTTAGGGGAATGATCAATACAATGTCAAGTTGTCCATATCATCAACATTTTTGGTTCATTGATTTTTATCAGAGCTTTTGCCCTTTCATGACATTAATTTTGAAATATGTACGGACTACTCGTGTTATTCCACTTATGCAATTTTAATGAAACTTTACAGGATTGATTGGTAGCTCAAATTATTGTGCATATTACACAGGTTTATAGGTTGAATGATTCTTGCCGAGTTATGGTTATCATGATGCATGCGACAGATGTGATCACTGATCTTTTTTATAATCATACAGTGAAAAGATAAGTTGTCGATAACTTGTGTCATAAATAATACTACTTTATTTTCTTAATAAATAGATTTTTCTAAACCTCCGCCGAGGAAGGAAAATCCACCACCCACACCAAGACAGGAACTATTACTCACAAAACCATGGCGCGCTCATAAGATACTTTCAGATGGCTGGACTGAGAAGGTGATTTTCTTTTTCTTAATTTACAATCATTGTGTAATTTTTAGCCCAATTTTTGTGAACAGCATTGCAGCGCTCTTCAATGTTTCAGACATTTTACCAATTAAAATGATTTATTCTAAAATAAACGGATAAGGGAATTGTCTTAAAATTTACACATAAGTTATCAGTCAATAGATCTTTATCAAATGGTAGACAAATCCAGATAAGCTTTTATTGGACCTGCCGTGTCAAAAAACCTTAGCGGAGTTCCTTTAAAGATAGTCATATTTATAAAATACATTTCTGTTGCTTAGAATATTATATTAATATGACGAATAATTGACTTACTTGTATCTTAATACGCTTTCATACTTAGTGCTTGATCTCGAACATTAGTTTAAAATTAAATTTGTTAACACGTTTTGTTTCATACTGACTGAAAGGATATTATTATCGTATACTTTTATTCATACTGTCACATTTGTCGTTACATTATATAGTTCGTCATAGTCGTAATAGACTTAAATGTCATATAGAGCATTATACAGAGTATGTTACAGACAATAATAAAATAATCTGAAAATTATATAAATGTTTGATATCCTAAAGTTTTGAACACAGTATATGTTCGGACCTATCAAGAGAATGTCTGGTTTGTCTTCTCGTTCAGAGCATGGAATAGGTAAGTGGTATAATGCAAATCACAATTTGATTCTTGTAGTCTCGGATTCTTAACTTTAGTAGGTTTTTAAAATAGCGTTTGTAGCTATCATTAACTATTTTATAATTAAAAAAAAGAAGGTGTCGACAACTAATTTTTTATAATAATTTCTTTTTTGAACACTGAGTATTAATCATTTAAAATATATTTATATACAGGTGCAAAAAGATCTTCTTGATGACATAGCTAACAAACTCAAAGAAAATATAAATATCATATTTATTGGTCCGGTGGCATGCGGGAAATCAAGTCTAATTAATTCGTTTTTTACAACTATATTAAATCGTATTACCAGTAAGGCTTCAGCTTGTCGAGATCTGACTTCACATACGTTGCGTGTAAGTAGTCTTACAATTGTGCAAGTACGTATTCAATATTGATAAAATAAGACATACACAAACATTTTCCATTCCTTTATATCATTTGAAATTAAACAATTACTTGCATTTATTGAATTAGATGTAAATCTGTATATTTGTAACTTTATAACTTTATTAAATATCATTTAAATGGATTATATAATCAAAAAGTAATTATTCTTTATTACGTTAACAACTATAGCTTTTATGAAAGCCAGTCTGTGAAAATGAATTCGTGTGTACATTGTACAAGAAATAGAATTCATTAGAATTGATTTCCAATTTTTCATTTAACATGAACGTTTGTTAAAAATAAAGCTTCATTAGTATTAATGAAAGACAAGTTGTTCAAATGATTTTGAAAATATTATGCCACTGTTATCTTGTATTTTTTCTAATAGCTTCATCAGATAAGAGGATTGAGCAAGCTTGAAAAAATAACGTTCTATGACACCATGGGACTAGAGGAAGCAGATGAGAAGGGCTTACGAACGAAACATGCAAAGCCGATTGTTAAAGGAGAAATACAGCCAGGCACAAAGGTATGTAATATCAATCTGTAACTCACAATCATTTAGGCTTTTAAGTAATTACCTGCATTGAACGAGTTAGCATTTAATTTAACAAAATAGGGAAAACATAATCCCATAATAATGCTTAACACGACAAACTTGTAAATGTTGCAGGCTCAGTTTTTATTGAGCATGTTCATGGACAGTAGTAGGTATTTGCATGCTACCGTCCACACCCCGTAGTAACTGCTTTAGCAAAGCACAACATTGGGTAACACAATGACAGCGTCAAAGACACACAATGTTAGATATTTTAGATTGCAAAAATAAGTTATTTCAAATTCAGTAGTGTAGTGATTGCCGCTGATCTAACCTTATATTTCATTTTTGAAAGCTGCCGTAAGAAATAAACTGATAATGATAATTCTTAATGAAACAATTAAATAATATGAAAACTAAATCATCATCTTTTAATGCAATTTACAAGAAGTAGCAAATCTGCCTCGTGCAATGGTAGACATATTACAATATAATTTTAAATCACATGTGTGGTTTATCATATTGACAAATAAAAAGACAATAGTTGCAGTATGTCCATCTGAGTGTGCATGTAAATGATGTGTGTATAGAACAAATTCAAAATAACTTTAGATTTTGCATAACTCATTTTATTTTTAAAGTCCAGGACCTGTGTATAATCAATAACTGACGTGATTCAAAGATAAATCTATAATGTAATGTAAATGTTTAAATGATTCCGGCAATAATAAGCATAATGTCACTTTAAGCATGACAGATATTTCAAAATGTAGTGTTCATTTATATATCATAGAATCAATGTATGGACTCGAACGAAATACAATAGGTTAAAAAAGTAAATCACTTTGATTTATGTCACAAAATGTAAAGTAAAAGGTAAGGATTGCCCATGAAACATAAATTGCTGATTTTCAAGGGGATATTATTAGTATACGCACTTAATTGCATTTACCCACATAAAAAAATGATAAAAATAGGAACTATGTTTACAAAAATATTAATTACAATTTGGAAGTAACTATATCAAAATTTCTGTTTCATTATGTAAATGTATTTTATGAAATCTAGAATTATATATTTAAACAAATAATGATAGGTATTTTTTATGATTGACGACTTAGGAATGAAAGGTCTGAATTATCTAATATTAGTAACGTTTCAAAAATTACTAATTCAAATTGAAAATCATAGGAAATTTGACCGACATTATTGACGAAGTTTAACAAAACTTGCCAACAAAGCTCGTCTACACAAAACAATACGAATTTACTTAAATAAATGATGGCAAAAGTTAGATTTCTATCTTTCTTTCTTTTTCATTTATCCTAAACCATATATTGGAAGAATAAACAAAACATGAATACATTTGAAATACGCAAATATACAAAGTGACAAATAAAAAACTATTTTTGTTTAAACAAATATAGCAAATCATTGATCTTGAACGCCATGTTTATGTACAGTAGGAAAATACAAGGATTTGTTTCCGGAAATCACTTCGTAAGTGTTAAACTTTTGATACATATAAAACAGCCATGAAAGTAGCTACAGAAATTTAATAAACGGACACAGGCGAGAAAGAAACTATGAAAGGTTTAAAAGGTTAATAAAATCACTGTGCCATTTATGAGCAGTTGATGGCGTAAAACACTGACATACTATGACAGAACATGTTGGCACAATTACATTTCATTACATTATATATCAAAGTTGTATGGCATAAATAGCAGTCAGTGAAATCTATTTGTTAGAATATATAAAGTAGAACAAATAGGTCTTCATTGCATTGTTTTACAAATATATGCTGATTTTGATGAACAGAAGCAAAACAAAAACACATAAAGCAACTATTTATTCCAATCATCAAAGTAAATCATGTGTATTTAGGATCAATGATGAAAGATACGTGTTAATTAATACCCACTTTGAGTTTGCATGTATTTGAATATTTAAGAAAACATTTTAACACATAGTCAGTTATATCAAAATTGAGGCATAGTGCAGACTCAACAACACAATATATACATTAAACAAATTTAAACTGACATTCATCTTTACTAATTAAAAATTGAAAGGGATACAGAACAATTGAACATGACTAGTAGATGACCAAAATTGAATTTGAAGCTATTAGTGAAATATGAAGGTAAATTTGACACTTTCCGTAGCAAAAGACAATGTCTATGCATTTCATTTTCTCTCTACCTGATTATTAGTATGCCCGACTGATTTTCTATTTTATCCAAGGGTTGATTTAGTATCGTTTATTTGTTGATAATGTATCTAAATTTCTACAATTAATACTTTAACTTACAGGGTTTTCTTCCTCACAAATGGTTGACTAGTTAAAGAATAGTAACTTTCAAAAATTCGTAAACTAACTCTAGTATCTTGACTCTCACTCTTGGAATCTCACTCTTGAATGCCCTTAGAAAATCTTGTACCAGTATTTATAGTAAATACCTTATCTCTCTATATATGGAGGTAACTTTATTGTTACTTGACAAATTGAAGCCTTCTATATTTATAACGACAAGTGTTGACCAAGTTACCATACCAGAAACAAACAGACTGATTCCTAGATAATTATGATGGTAACCGATAATCGAGTTACCTAAGCACAAAAATTGCAGGCCACTTGTGCAGAATTTATGAAGGTAACCGTTGACCATACCATACTAAAATCATACAGACTGATACACAATCTAGTCCCAACATATGTAAAGTAATAAATAATGACAACAAATGAGGTCTCAATTCTCATACAATCTCAATTATGAAATCAAACCATAACCAGGTACATCGCTAATACTACAACAGTATATAGTATCTTGTAGAATAATCTTTAGTTGTCAAAGGATACCTTCCTCACATAAAACGATCTTTGGTGCCTGTCAGATTCAAACCAATAGAGGTGAGGGGCAAAGGGTTTGCATACAAAGACTTTACTACTTGGTCACAAACGCGTTTTCGTATTATACGAGGGTTGTCCCAATATTCTGTGACAAGATTGTTTAAAAGCTAAATATAAAAGGTACGGATTTGATATTTCAATATGTTATAAACCCATATAATTGAAACATTTTCACAAATTTACATAGAAAACTATCGGCAAACAACAAAAATATGCCATAAACACCATGGCAACTTACTGAATCCCGGCGCACGCCAAACGTCAAAGACGACGTTAAATCTATATCAGGCGCCTTTCTCAAATACTCTCATTGGCTTTCAACGCAATAATGGTTCCCATGAATCGTCAAATACAGACATAAATCATGTGGTTGTTAATGTATGTTGCATTGTTTGAATGGCATAGATTAATTTTTGCTATACGCGAACTTCCGGTCTCCTTGCACCTGCTTTTAGCTATACGAAATAGGCGACGAAGATCGGTCTTCCTATCCGTGTTTTCCTTATTTTCGCTTTTTGTAGCGCAAAAATCTGGTTCCATTCATGCCTTTAGTAAACAAATGCTCAGGATATGTTGCTAAACTGTTCTATTTGGTATATTTGTTAAAAATCGTAACATGTGTCATCTCAAAATAGTCATGATACCTGATTGACCTGTTCACTGCGCCGCAAATTCTTAGAACGTCGTCATTTTAACATTCCTATTTTATACGAGATATTTTCATTTATTCGTCACTTTTTTGTTATTTAATTTATTTGACTAAAATTTTCTGAGATGATGTAAACATAGCAGCAGAGGAAGTCACGTGACATTGTGCAGACACATCATCAGATATTTGAAATATACGTAATTAATTTTAGCCTATTCATAACAAAATGCAAATTATTTGACGTGCGCCGGCAACTCAACCTTATGTCGTTAATACTGAAAAATTCTAAGTAACTCGAGTGAATATTTTGTAAATGATTTGTTGTAATGTTAAATAATAAAGTTAACGGTTATATGTGTGAATTATTTTCAATTGGCGTTAAAAATGAATCGTCTATAAAATTTGTCACGGACTTTTGGGACAACCCTCGTATATTAATTTATTGAAACACTATTTATATGAAATACGAGAAGAAGAATATTTGATGTTAATCATAAAGTGAATGAAATTGTTTACGAAGGTCGTGTTAACAATGAAAATCTTAATGATACAATGAATTTTTATGTAACAAATATATGTAAAAACAAAAATATATTCAAGCTTTTTTTTCTAGAATATATCGACCCTCCTTTAAAACTGACGAGATAAATGTCATTTATTATCCATCTTTAAGAAGTTCTAAAGTTTAAGCTTTATTGTTCTTTTACGTTTAACATATTAAGCTCTTTCAAATTTGAATATTCTTAATGTGTCAAAAATGAAAACAAGGATCTGTTTCAACATTGTATCGTATACGTACTGGATGGTGAAAATATTCAAAATGGACTCAAAGAAGACCTGACTGAAAAGATAGGACAGATAAAAGAACATATTAAGGACCTGTCATCAGGTAAACATATTTGGACAATCTTGTTCCTAAAATTGTGTATAACACAGTATTTTCTTTCAGCAGTTCTGTTATGCATATCAAGAACAGTCTTTAAGCTTCTAAATTATATCGTTTCCAGATTTTTGTACCATTTTTGGCCAAATAATTTGTGTGCAAACTTTCAGATCATTCGCTCACTCATTGCTTCGAATACATTTATACAATAAAAGAAATAAAGTACAACTCTTACAATATGATAACCAACAAGTGGATGTCTAAAATGTCTTAAATACTTACATATGTAACCAAATAAAATGAAAATGAATAAGGAGAGAAAAGTTTGGTGGAGCTGCATGTTGATATTGTTATGAATTAACTATGCTGTTTATGGATTTATTTCAGGTCCAAATCGAGTTGTTATTGTAACACATATAGATAATGTGTGCCCAGAAATTAAAGACGACCTTACGAAAGTTTTCAAAAGCGCAGCGGTTTATGAAGTGATTAAAAAAGCGCATAATGTAACTGGAGTTACAATTGGTAATATCTTCCCAGTAAAAAACTATACTGAAGAACAGGATTCCGTTGAATACGTGAATATACTTTTATTGCTGGCCTTGCAAAGAATTGTCGATTTTTCTATCGATGCAATTGAGAGGTCCAAAAATGACAATTATTCCACAAAAGGTTCTAAATCTATGGATTGAATACATTGAAGCGGCTGCTTTAAGTCATGGAACATTAAGCAGTATTTGATAATATTAGTGCACCCATAAACAATAAAAAAATAAAGAAATAAATTTAAAAGTTATAGATTTATTAGCTCAATTGTTTTCTTATTAAGAATAAAATACAAAAAGCCGATAAAGTAAAGCATCATGTTGTCGCATATCATATTTCAATTTCTGTTAAAACTACGTTTAATTTGACCATGACGTCTGCCTCCCAAAACAAGGAATGGTAGGTACAAGCTCCGATAGAATCATGACAATGTACCTAGTACAACACCAGTCATGTTCCCAAGAATGGTCGGTAGAGTAGTTCTTACAACCGAGCTGAAATAATAACGCATAACCTAAATTGATCTGATAACAACGAAATGAGTCTATTCCCCTTGTCAACAAAATGTTGCCTGAAATGGACCATCAACAGGTTAAAACTCAAATTTGTGTTTTTTGTTATTAACATTTCCAAGGCGTTGTCTTTTCCCTTTTTCTTCTTCTTTTGCTATTGCATGTCAATATATACGTATGTTATTTATCGGAGCCAAAATGTTTGATCACAAATTTTCCCGCTTCCTCCCCTCCCCCTCTCCTCTCCATCTATTATTCTCTCCTCCCTCATTCTTATAAGGTATGATCAAAACGTTCTCGACCCGATATACTTCTAGCCACTACACTGATATTTTCACACGATACGTCGATACCGATATCTTGTTGAAGATTACAGACCGAGTTACATGAGGGTTTACACAGATTAAGTAACATAAAACACATTTTGATCAGTTGAGGGTGTGTGTCATTTAGACCAAATGGACAAAGTTAAAATCAAAGCCGTAATTAAGTACCTCTGTAAGAACGGGTTGTCCCCCAAGAAAATCCATGAAGACTTCATGGATACATTTGGGAAGGTGTCCCCATCCTATAGCACTTTGAAAGAATGGGCTGCTGAATTTAAGAGGGACAGGGAGAGCATTGAAGATGATGAGCGGTCTGGGCGGCCAAAAGAGGCCTCCTCACATGAAAGAATCCAAAGTCCCTGTCGGATTTCGAGGGGCAAGTGGTTTGAAGTAAACGACGTTAACCATTCGGCCACAAAAATTAAGATTAGTAGCGCCTTATTTAAATAAGTAGTAAGTGAAGTCATGGGGGCAGTTAACTCGTTTAAATTATTCAAAAAATGTCTTAAAAGACACGTTCGTTTAAAACGAGCATGACCATGGACGGTTTCATAGTAGGTCCTTTGGAATGTAGACTGTCAGTTACGAAACTGGTTTATACTACGCAAATTTCAAAATTTCTAAAGATTTTCTCGACATATTTAAATTATTGATTTCGTATGCTTAGATTGTCTACACGTTTTCGATTTGCAATAATTGTGTTGTTGTTCTCAAAGGAAATTGTCTTCGTTACGACGGAGAACTATTTTCAAGACATGCAAGTTAAAAATAATGCATTAGCGTGTTTTGGTCACGTGACCAAATATGTTAACTGAATGAAATTACCGTCTGGTCTAGTTCATCAGAGAATTCACTTTTGGTTAATCTTTTATTGAAATTCAAATATCTTCATAAGTATATTACATTTTATATACGCAGTGGTATGTTTAAACTTTGTATACGCCCGAATATTGTTATGCCCCTGTTAGAAAGTCAGTCAGTACGTCCGTCCGTTTATTACCACATTTGTGCCCCGTCTTTATCTTTTGAACAGGTTTGAACTTCCTCAGTTCATGGTTAAGATCACATTTAGTCAGAATGTATTGATTTCAAAATTTCGTGTCCCCTGTATATCTGTTAAACCGATAAAAGGAAATCAAAACCTTATGACAAAAATATTTATATCAATAGAGTGATGTGCAGAACGCAGGTTTGCACTTTCATTGGTCAGTGTCAAAGCCACACTGAATCAGTAAAACTCCTTAAAAAGTATGATAAAATTAAAAAATATAATTATCATTTGTTCTAAATGATACATATAAAATATTAAATAATAAAGGCAGGTCTTCAATCGTTCCTACTTTTTCCTACTTTTTATAATCTTCCTACTTTTTCCTATTTTTTACCAAAACCTCCTACTACTCATACTTTTTGCGTGAAGAAATTAAAATAGATAAAAAATTTAATAAAATGGAATAAACAGAAAACAAGATATGTCCTAAGAAACAGACAATTGTCCCCCAAGTAGGGCCTGGTAGAG